GTAAAACATTCGCAGGCATGACCGATCTAAGGCAGGACAAGGATCATATTATACGCTCTGCACGCTCGAATAATTTCAATCGGCTGACTGAATAGGCATTTGCCTCTACCGTCGAGTCTGGTAAAAAAATTAATGCGGTCATATAAACATACGAGAGAGAGAGAGAGAGAGAGAGAGAGAGAGGGGGAGGCGGCATGTAACCGACAGTCGTTCGCGCACAAATTTGGGCAAAACACTGTAGGGTGTGCAATATTGCAACATTCTCGGAATGATTTGTCATTTTTGCCAAATTTGCGGTTCAAAGCAAAAGTGCGCGTGCTAGCTAAATCACATAACGAACGCGCAAATTGTTATAAGTGAATATATTTATAAAGGTACTACTATGCATTACTTAAGTTAGACTAACTAACTTCAGGCAGTCTGTCTGGCTCTTCTGCATGTGCAAGTCCGAGACTTTGCTACTCCCTTGGAGACGCATCAAATGTCACTGCAGGATTGTTCGGAATATCATCTTAGTACGTATATCACAGGAGCGCTCATTAGGTACGTTTTTCAAAGGCTGTCTACGTTGTCGTCGCTCCGTAAACGAAATGGTAATCCGTAAGTGGTGCTCGAAATGTGAGCATATTACCAAGCGGAACTTGCTAACAAATCTGTAGCAAGTGGGTCTCTTGGATCACTTTTCATTTACTGCTTTCTCAAAGATAGTTGCTAATTGCTGCTCACTGCTACGTTGCTATTCTTATCGGACATCTGGCTTGTTTGTAGAAGGCCAATTGTAGTTATGTAACCCCTTTCACAGAAGTAAACACATATTGAATAAATGAGTGTATCAGCTGGTTGGGTAAGTGGAAAATGTTCACATTTTCACCTTTGTCATACCACCGTAAAGTATATTGATCCCGAACGATAAACCCAAAGAAACAAACTTATCTTGGTTCGTCCAAGTCAGAATAATCGCGTCGACTCAAATACTGTAGAAACGGTTTATCTGGGGTTGTATACTATACCTGATTGTTCATTTATGATCTATTTCCGCCAGCTGAATCACACTTCGAGCTTAATACGTTGAGCGATGATGCAAAAGCTCAACTACTTCAAGCCTATCTTCAGATATTACCTATAAAATACTTGACTGTAGCCCTTCGCCAGTGTCACGATGCATAGTCTTTGTTTGGTCAAAGGAGGCCGCAAAGTACACATAGATTAAAACCAACGGAAATCAGTCAGCGATCATTCACGACCGGCGACGAGATTAATGGCATATAGGAACTGGTTGTTCTTCCTGATTTGCTTTTTTACCGAGTAGATTTTTGCGGCTTCCTGTTGGCTTCTAGTAAATGCATCTTCGTTTCTCCGAGGAAGAAGTGTTTCGGCTATTGAATTCTAGCTATGCGCTATATGTAATCAATGTGCGCTTATCATTAATCTTTTAAGCTTTAGCCAGCTGATTACGGTTGTTTATGGCTAGCCGTTTGTTTATCTCTGTATGTATACAACGTCGCGTTTACTCGTATCAGAAAAAGCACGAGCGCAATGACCTCCAGCAATGGTGCCGAATCATTGCAAAGGAAGGTCTTCCGTCCTCAATACGCTATGGTAGATCGTTTACTTACGGAACGAATGAGCAGTGCGTTAAGACGACCATTGTTCCGCTAGTACTGTTACTCATACGACTACAATTGCGGCGTCGTCTATAAATCAGTGACGCTTTTAACGAGAAGATCTGCTTGACCACTAGCGAGCTGCTGCATGTATGTAGAAAATCATCAACAGCTAGACCTTGTCACACATTTACGCACACTATCTCTACCGATCGAAATATACGTAGTTCTTAAACTGCACAAGCTGATTTCTTCAAAGCGCGTTTTCTGCGCGTGGGCAAACTGTGATCGTGTAAAAGCCATATCTAGGTCTTTCGATTTTTCCGGCCCAGACACTTTCTGATGTAAGTGAAAAAAACGTACTCCCGTCAAAATGTAATAACTTAATACTTATTAGAGTACAGCGCAGAAAAAGAGACCGCACACGACTTAAGCCCTTGCCAGTTGCGTCGCGTTACACCCGCGTACCGAAATTAATTTTTTTTTGTCACAGTATCGCTACGGTTGTTCGTATAAGCAAAAAGCGGTTATTTAATCCCGGCCATGCGGAGACGCTCACGTAGTGAGCGCGTATCAAAATTAAGCTTTTCCAATACGCTTCTGGTCAGATCGTGGCGGATCAGCGCACTTTTGTCTTCTTTTTTTGTTCGGACGGAAAGACAAAAGTTTAATCTAAGCATCGGTGCAACTCGCCGAGTTAACACGACCAAGTAAACATGAGCGAAACTGATGAAGAACCTTACGTCAACAAGTTAGAGTCATATGCCAGCAGCTAGGACCCTGAAACGATGGATGAAACCATTGATAATAGTGCAACACATGCTATACATCTACGTAATGAACGTACAAAAAAGCACGCACTACATCTGTTTCATTTGTAATGATCTTTTAATAACGTCCACAACAAGTTTTCGCCAGATATTTAGGCCGTTATCCTTTTTCTTATCCTGTCTATTAATGCGCTTAACCGCCCACTGTACCTAACCATTCGCTATGTTTATACAAGTCCGTGTACACAGTAAAATCTGCAACAAGGCCCATTGAGTGCCTTCTATCAACTGTAGATGTTCATGTTTTTGCTTACACATACAAGTACGAAGGTACTGTTTTTCTTTTAAATAAAGCAAGAATTCACCGCAACATTTCTGTGTAGCTATGGTTGCCAATTGCTAGAATTCAAACTTACATGGCCGTCCGTCGGTTATGCTAGTAAGCTACGTAGCTAGCTCACTAGAAGCTCACAAAGCAGTGCGTCAGGGAGAACCCATCGCGCCAGCTCATCAATAACGAATGATATACGATGTACAAATGCTCTGTTCAGCTTTGATAAATCATATTGTCATACACCGTACATTTTATGTCATGCCCGACTAAAAACAGCCAAAACCCTTATCCGTGTATCACAGGACAACCACAATTTCGATGCACATCCTGTGTCTCTGCTCTACTGCAACAAAACAACGGAAGATATCTTCTGGTCAGCTCTCCCAGTTTCTCGGTGACATATTCGAGCTGCCCATGTGGATCTGTAACACCGATTCACTCGCATCCTAAGCCGTGTTCGTTCGTATATGCATAGGGCCTACAGCTAATCCTTCGCTTGGGGTTTGCTTTCATTAAACTGAATTATGTAGACAAATGGCCATTGGCGACGGTATACTATCAATTGAAGATCATTTTTCATTGCTGTGTCACAGGGTGGATGACTGAGCGTACGTGGAAAAATTCATTGTGGAACAGATATCGTAATAAGAATCAGGATAAATCTATTACCACAGGTTTCTGGATGAATGGTTATGAACACAAAGTACGTCCCGTCTGTATGCCAAGCTGCGCCTGACTAAGTACGTCATTCATGCTCACAATTGCGATTAACACACGGCCTGCTCTAATTTTAGGTAGAAAACTGTAGATATCTGAGCTTGACTAGATCTGCTTTAGTAGTAATGTAACGTCTATGGTAACGTATGGTGACAGTAGACGATAAAAGTGCTCTTTACCGAAACTAGTTGGTCTTACGCGAGAAGTGCGTCCTGTAGACTCGATTACCGGGTGTAATGGGTCCACGCGGCCAACTACAATGCTTTTTTTCATTCATATCTAATAATCTAGTCTTGTAGGATGTCCTTTTTTCCAACTAGAGATGCCCCCAACCACAAATAACAGCCAGCAACGGCAAAACCTTCCCCCACCTGAGAACGTCTTTTAAATTATTAAACCTTTTAGTCGATATTAAGCAAGTAAGATTACGATATTAAGTAAAGTCTACTAAGTAAACTTTATGTATATATCATTCCCTATTATTTTCTTCTCTCTTTTTGTATCTATATCTTTTGGATACTATACAATGTTTCCTTATGTACTGCGTATGAAATTAAAACTATATTTGCTATGTCATTCCTATAATGATTAAATGCTGACCGTTCTTACATAAATAATCAAAGAATAACGTTTTTGATGATGAATCTTTACTCCCTTTTGAATTGTTGGGTAGGCTAAGGAAGCGAAAATACAACCACAGGCACATACTATGCTACTATGAACGTTGAATAGAAAGGCAGGTCTACCTATCGTGAGTAGTGTTTACGTCGCTGTTTGAGCCCGGCGAGCAACCGTACCGCGGCCTAGAACGACGAAGGGCCTTTTACCGCTAAATGACCAATAATTAGTGTAGGTTCAGAACGATGGTGCCGTGAAGTTTCTGCTTAGGACATTCAGTGAAAGACAATGATTATTTTACCGTTTGCCAGTGCGGGAAAGGCAATAGATCCATTCTCTGTGAGCTTCAAGACAAAGATCGTCGCCTTCAGTTGTAGTTCGCATTTTTTTTTTTTGATGATGATAACAAAAGCTTATCATTGAATTGCGTAAATGCTTATAGAGAGCTTCTTTACAAAATCTTCAGCTGCACAATATATATAAATATCCTATCGCAAGGAGTGTAATGGTTGCAGTATTTTTTTTTTTTGCTATTGTGTGCCTGATAGGAGAAGGCGTACTCATAATTCTAGCTTAAAGCAAATGTCTGCTATTTCCTTTACAGGGATTTTTTATACGGAAAGAGTCGGGGGCTCTAATTAAGATTCAAAGGTGTTTCCAAGCTAAAAGTGAACAGTGGGACAGAAAGAGGTACAAACCTAATACAATTTGAACGAATACGTAATCAGTCTAGACGTAACGGCGAAGACTGGCGCTGACACCTATTAAGCCACAGGCATACATTTCAGCTTATAAAAAACAAATAACGAAATAAAGAGGCAAATCCTTCCGGTGGCATTTTCTCGATTTGTTATATGCCGTCTTACATCGTCTTGTAGAGAATGTATATCGCCGAATGTTGATTGTAGCATTGGGGCATAATTTAAAAACATTAATTGTGTAATGTTTTGATTGCAGGCTTTGTAGCCTGAGTTTAACTCGGGTACGTCTGTATAGGCCATTAGAAGGCGGCGATGGTGTCTCATCGTTTACCATAGCTGTCAAAATGCAGTCATCGAAACGAGCCCCCACGCGCTCCTCAGATATCCCCTACGTTCTTAATAACTACCCGGAGGATCCACACAAGGTTAGTACTCAATCATACGCTATGATAATGAGCAAAAGTTGTTTAATCATGACAAACAAATAATGGCCCTTACTCACATAGAAAATGGGGGGTTGGGGGGGGGGGGGGTCATGGAACTCTCTAAGCAACTTCGCAAAAATTACAAAATTAAAACTTGTTGATTATTACTAAGTAGAATAATTTTCCATAGTAAGTAGAGTAAGGATCCATAAGAAAAAAAAAACGAAAGAACGAATATGGTCTGATTATGAGACGATGGAAGTTAGTGACCTAAGAACGTCGTCACGCTATTCAGAGAGTTCATTAGGATAAGTGCAGTAAACAATTGGGTTGATTCACTTATCCAATCGGCTTTTAATGGTCAATAGATTGAAGATCAATCAATAAATACCTGTACAGTCTCAGCTGTAAAGGAAGTTGACGGCAAAAAGCGCTATTTTTGTTGTGAAAGCGGTGATGAACGTTGGTATCATTATTATTATTATTATTAATTATCGCAATCAGCAACGGCTTCAAGGTGTCGGCTTTTACTTTTAGCGTATACAGGAATAAATTGTTACGGCTATCGATAAATGCATTCTTCATTTCTTTCCATGCAATCTCAAAGCGTCCGCTAGGGAGACGTGTCATTAAGGACGGCACTGCGTTGTTGCTTCCGTTCGCCCTTCTTTAGCCTCTGACACTAGCCGCTGTTATTAGGTACTTCTTACAATATACGGTTTGGATTTCATTACGCATCACCTAAAATGCCTTTCAGCTTGAATCAATACTATTACAAGATGATTGTTGGAGCCTGGTAGTTATCTGGCGTCAGAGCGAGCTTCTATAAAGAAGATTTACATAGAAACCTAATTCTCACAGCTATTTTGATGAATTTTTCCTTTTACTTAACACGAGGTTACAATTAATATTAATTATTGTCATACGAAAGACAAGCGGTGATGCACTTTAAAGAAACGCTTTCAATCTAAGCAGGAACCAGCTGCTACCTAATTCCTATTACTACAAAGAACAAATGTTTCCAGTTTCCAAATATTCGCGGTAGTGCAGACATTCGTCTACGTAATTAGTTTTATAAATAATTCGGTTTTATTTGGTGAAAACTATAGATGTTCTAGGTACCACTGGCTATGGCGCTGGTTTGATTTCGATGTCACTGCCGTCGGCGTGTGGCAGACTTGTTCAGCTTTGCCGGGCTTTGATCAGTTGCCAAACGCTGGCCTTACCTTGTTCGCTGCTGCCATAGGCTGCTGCTGGCGCTACGTATTATCTCCTTCCTGATCGCTTCATTTTCCTTCGGTCAGATATTCGTTCCCATAGGACTAACGGCACGCTAAGATTGATGCTGAAAACGGATCTGACAAAAGAGCATTAGTTCGAGGATATCGCGTCCCCTTTTTCAATGCGCCTCTTACGAGGTGGACCCTGAGAATAGTTACTTGCTTTTATTTATGCTTTTTATTTGTTAGGATAACATCTTTTGTGATCCGTGTCATAGCTATTAGGCTGGGGGGCCTATCTAAAATATCGGGCACGTATTGTATGAGCTCTCTCATGCATTGCATACATTTCATTTACGATCATATGACTCTTCGCATATAGATCCCTTTGATTATGATGAACTTCACTTATGGTAAATACAATGTCGTCTCATATTGATGATTGTTTTTGTGCGGTGCAGGTAATTGTAAAAGGTAGTAAGGTACATGATTGTTTACGTGTACTCGTCATACAGGCATAATTGTAACTCTTCGTTTGCGGCCTCCGACCATGGCTGATAATCCTGCATGCCTGTACGAAATTAGATTGACTCTTTCTGTTAGTATCTGTTTTTACATGTGTGGTCTGAAAGTAACAAAAAAAGGTAAGAGAATTATGCTCGTGAGAGCAGATATATGTCATAGCAAAACCATTTGCGTCATTTATTACGAGCGCGTTCTTTTTGACTTGTATAATTAATAAGATAAAAACATCTTTGAACTTTATTACATACCTCTGTAGATTTTGTATAATTTATTATAAATTATTTCAGCCATACGTGACGTATTTCAGCTACGAACGAATTTATTGCTAATTGTCCAGTTTATCTGGGAATAATTTCAGAACACTTAATAGTATAAAGATAAGTGGACATTTTGGCTTTTGCTCCTATATAGATGTTTCGGACAGATTTTATATCTAGCGTATATTATAGCAGGCTAGTGGTGGTTCACTTATTCACACGGCTTTTCAAACAACATATATATATATATATATATATATATATATATATATATATATATATATATAAAACACTCTCAAAGGGTCAATGGCGACCGGCAACTACTTTCCTGTATCTCAACTACAAATTTTTATGCTTTTAATATGGTGTCGTCAGTTTCTTGAGTTAATGAGTGATTTCGCTTCATCGATTCGTTGTTGCGTGCTCTTATATATAACACGTATAGCAGTAGTTGTAAAATCGAGCGCTTACATAAATCACTCGCCCCCGTTGACGAAGCCCCCTCAGTTAGCCCCCTGAATCAATCGAAAGCATTTATTATAGTATAGGCATAGGCTGTGAATATTATATTATAGTAAGTAAATAACAAAGGCATACATACGTTATAGGTCCACTGCTCTTTTGATCCTACAAACAAATCGTATGCTTAAAAATCGTGTAATCTTCGCTCTCATTGAGAACTAGTAGCTTTGAGCACATCGCTCTAGGAGGCGCTGCTCGAGTCAGCGTTGCATGTGTTTGTACCGAAGCTTATTAACGATATAAAATAGGATAGGAAAAAGATTAGTGTTTTTGTTTGAACAACGCTTGATAGCACTCTGTACTCAAACTGTGTACATGACGTAGAAAACAATTTCTTCCACTTGTACCTTGTTCTACAGGCAAAATTAGTCGCCTATTAAATAGGTCGATCAGGACAGAAGCCGACATTTCTAAAAAAAGTTCTGTTTGCTTATTGCACTACCAAAGCTACACATTGTCCTAACTAGCTCATTGTAGTAATCCCGGTTGTGTTGTAGCCTGACTAGAAGCCTTTGTACGGCTCCGTAAATGAGGAATACCGCTAAGTCTAAAACATTTGGAAGTTATAAATTGTTCGCACCCTGACCCTCTGGACTTCTTTCGTTCAAACTCCATTGGTTGTGTTTTTTATAGCATGTACGCTATATCAGTAATTGTTTCACGAGTAAACTGTAACAAAGGGTCGGCGCAATGCGCCAGAAGACGAAATTGAATCCAAGCTAAAACTACGATGATAGTGATAGTGATAAGAGACTATTACGGTAAAACAACAATCATCGACCGGTACATTAATGAAAGCAAATTGCTGATTATGTTGCAGCCGTTGTATCATTCGTAGAAGTGGTGATTGTAGGATATCATCATACGTTCAATACAATATCACTGCTATTTGTTGCGCAGGTAGAACACAATACGGGGTACAGACTTTCGCATAAACATCCAAAAGTATGAAAAAAACACGACACAAAAGGGAAATAGACGAAAAACGAAGCAAAAGCTAGAACGGCACATAGCGTTTCAGCTGCTTTTAATTCCCTAGAGCTCGTTTTTAAGTCAATCAAAGCGTCATTGACTGATTGACGAACTTCTGACTTCGATGGTTATTATTGATTGACTGGCTACGGGGCGTTCTGCAGGCCTCCTCCTGCTGACAAAGGCTACCAAAAGCTGTTGTTCGACTAGCGCCAGCTGCCGCTTAGAGAAAGTCATAACAAAACTGAAATCACACGATCATTAGCCCGTACATGGCCTACATTATCGGCAAAACTCGAGCCTGGTTTTACCATCGTGTGTACGTTGGCCTGCGTTTTACTGCGTAGAATATGCAAAGCGGTTGGCTACCACGGGTTCCAGCAGCACCACGTTAATGTTGCCTGTCACGACAGCTCGTACAATGCCTGTCTCATTCAGGAGCGAAGAACGTGGACACGAATACTAACACCGGCACCATAAAAGTGAAGCATCTATCGCATGTTTCTGGTCACAGACAAGATGCTAGAGGACAATCACTTGCTACAGAAGTTACACAGAACACAAATAGAAGCGTGGTGCTCAAATATCTTACAGCGTCTATAATAGAAAAAATAGAGTAACGCGTGGGTAAATAGTGGGCATCATTTCGGAACACCGATGCTTGTCTTGCCGCTGTCTATCAGTTGCAAAGATCAAAACTTCAGCGGTTATCACTAGAGAAAAGAACCTCGAAGAGTGATCTCTCTTCGAAAATTGCGTATTATCTCAGTTTTTTTTTTTAAAATTTTGAGTGTGTGTGTGTGTGTCAACAATGCGTCGCGCCCGGTGACGCGTCCCGACCAGCTAAAAGCTACGGTCTAAACAGCGATGCCGGCTACTAAGCAGAAATGTTGCAAAAGTGAAATGGTCGTGTAATTGCAGGACAGTCGCCTAGAAAGCTGAAGAAGGACAATGTCGTTTTATGCTTTCTTGATGATGCGCTAGGTATATGCCTTCGAATGTTATTAGCAGTTCAATTTTTCTGCATCATAAACATAGGTGCAATGTCCTACTGCGCAATACTCTCTTATGATAATTAGCCCTTTCCTGTACCTTAAGATCACTTACTTCTAACCAATGGCTACAACATTTCAACGAAGCCGCCTGATTAACAAATCTGTTCGCGGCAAACTAACCGCTTTTCTTTGCAGAAACCAGCGGGCATCTTAGCTACATTGCGTACAGATAGACAATGCCGTAGACAGGTCTAATCACGTTTCGAAAGCACTGTTGCCGCTAGTATATTGTACTGTATGACGATAGTACGCTGTCGCAGGAAAGTGCTCGCTTAGATGGCCGTTGGGCCTTTTAGTAAATCTAGCCCATATAATTCGATCTTGCGCTGTCTAGCTCGCACCCGTGACGTAACAATTACGACAAGGGACCGGCGCTTAAAGTTCCCATATGATTGAGCTGTAATAATTCTCGCAAACAATCGACACCCTCTCGAAAGGCGACGCAGTGACGTTCATTAGTTTCAATAATACGGTGATGTAGTATACAGTAAACTAGTCATCTAGACGTGCTCTGTGCCCGTGGTTCTGCCTGGCTGTTCGCTTGCAATGCAATATCTGTATTCCACTGCTTATGTAAACGTGATTCTGCCATGGGGCATTTTTCTTTCGGCGTTTTGCTTCGCGCCGCACTTTCAGCTGCCCAGGGGCTAGCGAGCACAGCGCGACTCTTCGGCGTTTAGAAACTATTCTGTTAGGGTTATACCGATGGTGACACAAACGGTTACGATGATGGTGACTGATGCCGAAATGACCTAGGGGGACGGACGAGGTTAATGGCCGCATCACCGTTGCGCTCGTAATAGGCGCTGAACCAGCAACTTTTGATCTTAAACAAAAAGAGCACGGTGTTTCCTCTTTAGCGCCGTTCTGCCTCTGCGGCGGTCCAGCGTTCTTACGCCGTCAAGGTGTCGCGGCGAGTTGACGATCATTGCTGTTTACCACATCGTATTATGGTAAATTGTGGTCAACTTTTATACCGTCGTTTACCGTAGTAGTACTATATATAATTATGTGCGTACACAAGAGGCGATCTCTAGAAGCTCGGCGCTAGCGCATTCTTTTTGCCTAGTCGGAGATCGTCCACCGGAGTCAAGCGTACTTCTGTTCGCTTGCAGCTTTGTTTACTACTAGAGTCGCTTGCTACACGACTTACAACGACCTTCGACCTGCGTTTGAGCGCTGGCGTCGGTGCGAAACCCTTACACAACCGCCTGCCAAATTTGTAAGAAGAGTTGACCCTTTAATCGCTACATTTTCCCATAGCGATAAATACACTAGCAGGGGTTCTCGGTCAAGCCAGCGTTACTATCTCTGTTATGCAACCATGCACCAATTATATAGTAAAGGAAAAAACAGCAAATCTCTTTAGAATTTTCCACATTTCGTCTACTTACATCGATCTAATAATGCCATCTGTGCTCTAATAATGCCATGATCTAACTGCACGCCCGCTTGAAAATTAGTATCCGTTAGTAGCGATTTATTGTACGGACAATCTTCTGCGTCGGAGCTGAATCAAAGGTAACAAACACGGCTCTGTCCCGCTAAACACGGTACGTAGCGGCTTAAAAGATGACTACTCCTTCTCGCAAATGGTTATCCCTCTTCTAATACCTACACCGAAAAGAATCTATGATTTTTAGAATAGGGTCACAAATCAAACTTCTCAGTCGACAGGAACGACAAGGTTCGAGGGGCTTTTAACGTCCGAAAACAGTTATGTCAACATGCAACATACTATTGTCTGATATTAGAATACTGTTCTACAGAGGAGCGTGTAGGCGATTATTTATATACTACTATTTTTTGTGAATTACGTACTTTTATTTTGGCCAGGTAGTCTTTATATCTGTCCTCATATCTAGGTACGTATGATCACAGGCTAGCTATTCGACTAGAAGGTAACGATATCACCACTCCAAGATCTTGGAGGCGGTATCATTACGTTTCGGATGTTAACAGAGAAAAAAAATCTATTGACGTCAATCTAAACGATGGCATGGCGACTTGGATGGTGATGACTTGTAAAAGTTTGCCTACCCACAAAGTCTATGACAAAGATGATCCAGCTATTTAAATAAAGTAAACCGAAGCTATCGGATCGACCGACACCTATGTTGAATTGTGCCTACGGTGAAGACGAAGAATACGACTTATCTACTTTGAATTTGCGTCCATCCCTATCGCTTGGCAGCTTTGTATCATGTCTGTACGAAAGCTATACTACTGTTAATTAAACTAACGTATAAGAAATGGCTTATAATGAATTATTAACGTAATGTTTCTGTTATTGTTGAGTGTGTATTCCAGGTGTTCGATTGCGAGCTCGATCTTCAGTTTTCATTGCAGTACCCCCATTTTATTAAAAGAGGTGGAAATCAACTCGTAGTGATGATCCAGCGTAAGAAAAAGTATAAAAATCGAACCATGCTTGGGTATAAGACGCTGGCTCAGAACACGCTGAACATGTGCGAGGTAAGGCTGAGCTTTACGTCAAGCAATTTCTTTGCTTTTTGGGTCAGTCATTCGGATAGTTATAGACCGCTCTGGTTGCTTGACATCTTCGGAATTCGAGCATACTCACACATATTAGTTTTGGCATGCCTGTACCAACAAGGTCCTCGGATATCGGAATCATATAGTCGTTTGATTACATTGAAAGTGAATAAATAGCTGTGTTTTATCTAACTGACATGTCAATGGATTGGAGGTGGGTCTGAATCTATTTGATGCTGAGAAACTAATATTGCCGAGGTTCCACGGGGTTCTAATAGTAGACTGTATTATAATTATTCCACCAAGTTCAGTATCAGCCCCGTTGACAGCATAAGATAAACGCAAAACGATCAACATGGCAATTCCAATCGAACATACTATAATGGAACGCATGCATGGCACGCCGACCATACCTATCTTCTGATACTGAACCCCTTGACGACTCGGGCCATCACACATGCATAAAGCATGCCATGTTCGCGTCGTTCACTTTCCTTATGTTTGTAACTTATCTCAGTGTGTAAATTGTACGATGGTAAGCTTCACGCTGAAAACTAATAACTTTGAATGACTTCTAAATATTACGTACGTATGCTAAAGGTAGTCCTAGTGTGGCTGGCGAGCTATTCCAGTTGGTCTAATGTCAGCTGTAGCAGTACAGATCCGCGCAGGAGTGGCAGTGACACAGGATCGATGTTGTTGCTTTGTATGCACGGTCCAATTGCTGTTGTTGTTTCTGTGTCCTCTCTGCAAAATGACGTTCCTATCCCTTGATCCGATTTTACGGACAATTCACGCGAAGGCGCGCATTAGTTTCTTAAAGGTGATCTCGCGTTAATTCGGATTTGCGGAGTCAGCTCAAACAATGACAATGCACAGGCGAAAAGCGCCGATAGCTAGTAGATTTGGCCAAGGATTCCGTACGCATCCGAGGCCCTCACACTGTCTAGTACGGTTTCTGCTGTTTGTCAGGTCAGGGTTTGCTGTGTCCACAAGGACGCCCAAGCTGTGGACGGAGCACTTCGTTTACACGAGGCATTTCATTGCTCTTTCTGTTACTGAGTCCCGGCGGATCTCGATTGCTCGGGTTCGCTTCGAGCTCTACCGATCAGTGCTTAAGCTGAGCGGCGATTCCATGAATAATTCCGCCAATCTAGCAATGCAGCACGTTCACTCCATTGCGTTTCTCCAGAATGGCTTCTGCGAGCTCTTCGAAAGGCTGAATCGAGGCGGACTAGTCTGAGCAAACTACCAAACGATAGCAGTAAGTATCATCGAGATGACGATGGAAACGAAAAGTGACCTTGACAGCTCATTAACGGGACGCCATCAATATCGAGCAAACGACCCATGATACGAAAGCGGCCAAACTCTTTTACCAATTCAGAAACAGACTGATTAACAAGTTGGTAGTACTTCTAGTACGTTGTCTCCAGGCGGATGAACTCGGACGACAACAAAACTTGCTCGGAGTCAATTAAATGCCCACTGATACGGGCATACGAATCGCCTGGAAGCATCTCGTCAGATTGCATTCCAGTAGCAGAGATATATCGGAGTGAAAGACGCACGGAGTTTTACCACATGGAAGGAGAAGTTTTTTTGAAGTAAAGTCCACAACTGGCTGAATTGTAGAAATAGGTAGTACGTGACTTAAGTTTCAAAGACACAAGATGTCTGAACGACTGAGACTACATACCCGCACTCTCCTGCCTTACTTTTTTCCATATTTTTCTATACGGCAGTCTAATACACCATGCTGCAGATGGTCGAAGTGAGTCCACAATGGATGAGTTGAAAGGGTACGATCGAACATTCAAATCTTGTGTATCACTTAATATATGCGTACCTACACTGAGGTAAGTTAAGAAACGTACTCTAGTCGACCAAAAAATATAATTAGGCACACAGACTAAGCAATTTATAGTCAGTGTACCGGACTGTCGTATATATAATAATTCAATTAGGATCCGTACAACATTGTATTTGTTGACAACTTTAACCCTGAATAACTTGTATCACGAGGATACTATAGTCAGTGAACTACATAAATTGTTCACATTAATATTCTTGCCAAAATTGAACCCAATTGATTTGATGCTAGATCCGTCTAGCTATTTGTGCCTTGGCGAAGTTGCTAGAGCTAACATTGCGGTGGCCCTTAGGTAGGCCATTATTACACACAGTGATGTTGACATCGTTGTCTATATTGCCACCTTTAACCCGTTGGGTCTGTAACTAACCAAGGTCGCGCGGCGATAACCACGCGCCCAGAGCCCACAAGCCGCTCATAAACGAGTAACCTTGTCACCTTTGGATTCAGAGGATTATTCTGCCATGACTATTGATTTGAACTCTGGATTCAATGAGTGATTTGTTAGCGGCCTAAGTATCTTCGTCTTGACCTGGCTCGAGTCAGCTTGAAGGTAGAAGTTCTAGTATTTTTTTCGTTTTATGAGATGACCCAGCTGTTCGACGATAATGCGATTACTAATTTCTCCTTTGAATGTTTGACTTGTTATCGGCCATTTTCGCACGGTGAACAGTGACAATAAATGTAAGTTTGCGTTTTGATAAATTCAAAAGGCTACCTGCTTCCGCGTCCAGCCAGAGGACTAAGAAGGACAGATTCATAGTAGTTTACGATACGTAATGAGTGGATCAATGTCTTGCGTAAGATCTACACAGAATCCATCTTGCTGAAGTATAATCTTATCAATTATTTTGATAACCGATAACGTGGAACTTTGGGTCCTAGACAAAATTAGCATGGACATAATTAGTAACTTCTATTGGTGCGCGTGAACTGTGACAAATTATAACAATTATAGTAATAGCATAACATTCGTTCACTTCTAGTAACTTTAAAACTTTTCTTCCTCTTCTCTACTAAAAATTTCACATTTGAATTTCCAGGGCTTCCCAATGTATGTGCTACAGTCCCTTGAATATCACAGTAATTAACATAATATAGCATGATTTTATAGAACTATTGGGTATGTATCATCTCTATTTATCTTGTTTCTCCTATCGCTCGTAACTTTGCTGCGCATTTTGGCTTACGAAAGCACGCAAATGGACATGGCAAATACGACGGCGGGAACGTCACTTATTCCATCTGCCATTGCCGTAACTGAGTTGAATGGGTGGTTGAAGCAACAAGATTTTGAAGAAAGAATACAGAAGGCGTAAAGATTTGTCAAGCCTAAACGAGACCTTTTTCTCGTTCAAACACCTACATAGATATACGGATCAACACGATTATAACGGGGATCTCTGTACCGCCAACAGCAACATGCGTTTGACTAGAGCTTGACAAACAGCTTTCCTATGCTCAATTCCTATACTAAGAGATCCACTCGAGAACCCGACATGACTAAACGAGTCTAAGAGGCGACACGGTAGAACTGTAAAGCATACATTAGGGCACGCAGGTCTGTACACGATTTGACAGCAGAAGGTAACCTGTTATTCAAAGGCCTTGTATGCAAGTATTTGTTTTATTGCTTTCTTGTGCACGACTATACGCGCTGCTATTTTGTTACCACCTTAAGATTAAGGCTAAATATAAACATTTAAAATGTACGATCTTAACTTACTGAGATTATTTCCAATTTGCTATCATTCATAATTTTAATATATATATATATATATATATATATATATATATATGGTTGCGAGTCAGGTTCCAGTAAATTGTATATCGCAAGCTTACGTATTGAATTTCTTATTGATTTTCCAATTTATCTTTCGCGCCGTCCCTGAAAGACGTCGTATCTGCCGCTTTCCTTCTAATGACTAAGTTCAGCGGTTCAAATCCGTCATCTATTATTTCGTGTCTTCTTTTGACACTCACTCTTAGAGATAGACAGATAGAGATAGTTATTCGAGCTTCTAATAAATCAAATATAGAACGAAAATTACTGGTTTTGATTGCTATTCTAGGTCCTTCAGGGCCCAGTGGACAAAGAATTAATGTTGTTCGAGCCTCGATCGGACAATCCCGATAAGGAAAAGCGGGGTAGCGTCGCTACGCCCGTGGCGGTTCTCACAATGGGCAGTCTAAGCACGCTCCCAGTTGTGGAGGACAGTGTCGTTGGACTCGGCCTAAAAGGGATATCAATTAATGAAAGGTTCTCCGATGACGATTCGGATGACAACAGCTCAGAGGTCTCTGACGAAGACGGAACTGCCGCCGGAGGTGGAACGGGTGGCGGTGGAGGGCGAACTCGGAGAAGAAGTCTCAGGAAAACGAACAGACGTGGTATGTGTTAGGAAAGCATAATGAATCATTAGCCATTTTTAGAAATCACACAATTTATTTGATATATTTCCGAGTGAATGAAAGCTCTAGGTGGGGATTATCAATGGAATACAGTACCGTTTCAATAAGATAATTAGAGCAACAGCTGATTTATAACGATTCTACCTTCGGTGCTAATTATTAACGTCTCTCTGAACATATGTATAGTAGAAACATGTACGTTGCTAGTAATAATACTACTACTACAGTTCGTTACGTTATTTGACGCCATACCGAATGTCGAACTGCGTAGGTTCACTGAAGACGAGCCTTTTATCGCCTAACGCAGAAGAGCCCCCAAGCGGAGGTGGGGGCGGCGGCGTGGGTGCGCAGAGCCAACGCAACATCAAACAAAAGTTTATCGCGCTTCTGCGCAAGTTTCGTGCTGCCGATGACGTCGAAGGCGCGTCGGATGGGGAACAAAGCGCTATGGGCGATGGAGCGGCTGAGGAACGGCGCCGACTGGAGGACCTCCTGTTTGATGAGCTCTCTAATCTATCCGATTTGTCCGGTGGCCAGGAAGAGAACGATGATCTGTCGATTACGTCGACACCGAAGCCGTCGTTACGACCGTTCTTCTCAAGTCTTACGTTGGTACCGCCGAATCAGGACGGTAAGCAGTTATTACCATTGTCGAGAAATGATTAGTCATTCGGTGAAAGGTAAAATGTACGTAAAGTTAATAGTAGTAATAATGAATATATTCGTATTTATGCTAGTCAAATACTGTTTTGATCGGTACCAAATTACAATGTGACCTCTTTCATTCGATGTTAGGCCTTCGTTAAAGGGAATGTTACATAGAAGGCATGGCGGAGGGTTTTCTAGGATATGCACTTGATCAGAGATAGATAGAAAAGGAACTTTTTGCCTTACTAACTTATTCTGTTTTCAGTTACATCGACACTGCAAGCATAAATGATTAGGAATTATCTGCACAAATCTGTTATGCAGGCTCAGCAAAGGGTTAACTATCGTCTCGATAGACGTCCCGTGATCTCACGTTCCGCTTGGTCTCGTTATTTTTTCGGGATGGGATTTTTATCATATATTACCGTTTATGTTTACGTTACGTTTAGTTAAGTTAGTTAAGGTTATGCAAACCGGTTAAGGTGACTTATTTTATTTAGTCGCATATATCTCTTTACTTAGAATTGCATCTCTGGAATCCTCGTCATCGACTGATAGGCCTGTTGAGTACAAAAATCGGTCGTCGGCCGTAAATGCATTTTGAATGCAGTTCGAGACCAGCTTTTGCTCGATCTGTAATCTAAATAAGTCTGTTGGCTTGCGTCTTGTGAGCTGCGGCCTGCTTGCTGCAAGGTGTCACTACTGCTGACTGATTAAAGCGGCCGATGAGGCCTGCACAGCCGTACCGCGTCTCTAAATGTTGGGTTCCTGCTCATTAATGATGTGGTTATTTGTTTGTATGTCTCTGCTCGTCTGGATTGGTTTTGACTGGATCGGTTAGTCGGTAGTGAGAACACTTAGTTACTCCTTCACATTTACAGCTCATATTTACAAATGTGTAAGCATGAAACGCAGACAAACAGTAACATGGACAAAGGTTTAACGAAGCAGATGTCCGGTCAAATAAATACTTTACTTTCTCCTCCGTTAATATAAATAGTGAAAAGTGACGAGCAGGGTGGATGCTCTGGGTAGGTACTTGTAAATATGATGACTTATACCAACTGCGCCTGCCGTTTGTAGCGGGGCCTACAGTTTTGATTGGCTTAAATAGTAGATTATCAATGGAATAGGGATAGATAAACCGAACAAGAGAAACAATTAAATAATAACACTCATTAAAGTTGGTGTATGGAAATTCGCGTCGCGTGGCTGGCGAGCAAGGCTCTAAGGCCTCCGTATGATTATTGTTGTTGTCAACAACTGGGACATGACCAACTACCCCAATATGAAATCCTATATCACATATGCTTTTTACCACCATCTAAGTCGTACGTTTTAGTTTCATCACATTGCGTATGGTTATGTCTTGCACCTTGTAGTCCATTCATGTACCGGTACAATAACTTAGCAGTTTTCGTGGAGGACTGATAACCCTTGAGTAGCGTTAGCTAGTTTTCTACTCTGAAGGACGCGGTACATCATGTGTTTAGCGTCTCAGGCAAGCTTCGAATGTATTGTCCCTAAGTTAATTCTTATAATAAGCGTCTTTATTATTTAAGTATACAAAAATACCCTGCAGTCACGCGAGCTTCATGAGAATCCCTTCATTTCACGCAAATCATGTAATTACGCACAGGGCCTAATGGGAAGAGCTTCTGCGTTGACCACTGTAATAGCCTAGATGCTGAGGCGACAAGAGGGTATTTGTTTACCTACTAAGGAATTAATTTTTCCGCTTATTTCTTTGATGTTTATCACACAGCGAAAATCGTCAGTACGTAACGTAACGTTGAAAACGGCTTTTCGCTACGGTAAAACAGCGCTAACAACAATTCTCCAAAATTCTTCTTACATAACAATGGTACTCAGCGGAATATTACGTTATCTCATAATCGCTGATTTAGATCTAATCATTTATGGACCTCTAGCGTTTTTCCTATTTTCCTAGGTGATTTTCTTTCTATTTTATAGGTGATTACATCGAATACGATACTGATAAAACGTGAACTAATTTTCAAGCCGCAGCAACACGTAAATTGTGTCTTGGGACATGTTCGGCGATGGGTTAGTAATGAGTGGATGGCATTCGTATGTGAACGTCATTTGCTTATTTAACACTGACAATAAGTGGCATATGGCGTTCACTTAGACGCTTATCTAATCTGCTTTCCCGTTTTTACGTCACTACGGGAAGGTGCGAATTTAACTAGCTATACAAGCCTAAGGAAAATCTGCGATACTCAGAAATGATGGCCGTAAGCTGTGTTCTACTGTATAACAACTGACGAGTAAAATTAATCATTTTTCGCTATTAGAAGGAAATGTTTAAAAAAGCCCGCCATAGATTACAATTCGAAATATACCAGTGACGAGTTCAACGAATATTTACGTCTAAAGGACAAATGCAAACAGTGTTTTCAACATGGCTAACTCAATTTTTCCATTTCATTTGCTGAGTCGTGCATCTGTCAGACTTTTTGCTGTAAAATATTGAGGCACCCGTTATGGATAAACGATCAGAAGATATGGGTATAGTTAGCTAACCCTCGACTTGTGATTCTTTTTTGTACGGGCCATTAGCCTTCTGGTGGTGACCCAAATTCAAGATAGCTCTCTATTGGAATATTATCACAATAAGAGGATATTCAATCAATTGTTTGATTGGCATCTTTCAACGGCTTGCTACACGTGACGCAGAACACAGGCTGCGGATGTAATTCTTACGTGCGGTAATGCCTACATTTATCACACAGTAATTATCTTACTGTGGTTATCGTTAGTACTCTATATAATATATTGACTCTAATAAAATCTTCTGCGGTTAGTTTTGCGGTAAATTAGGTGACGGGAAAGCGGGACACTGCTTATGAATGACAGAACCTGTGTCAATTGGCTTTCCTCTTTGATTTCGGGGGTTGTATTGGTCAGGACGTTTTCGCCATTGTCTAAGCGCGATTCGTGATAGCTTGCAAAAGCTAGCTTGACGTAATACTTCAAATCGGATTGTCTATATGATGGCTCTACTTTTCTGTAACAGTAAATGATTATTATGACGAATCTGAAGTAGTGCAGTGAATCTGAGCTCCGATTTAAATAACAACTTCGAATTTACGTTAATTGACGCGCGATACTTCAATGCACGGTTCCAATGAATCGTTTAGAAGACAAAGATCCTGTTATTTATCCTACCGTGTGTCCCCTTCAGCTCAGGTTATAGGATTGGTTATCCATTAGTGTGGGTGGATCAAGATGCCGTGATTAGGCACATGCGAGCGCTTCCCGTTTATTCTAACATTCGTTATATTTAATAAATTGGCCATTATCGGTCGTGTTGATTGTCGCTGAATCGTTTGTCACCGCGCACTTGATTCTAGACGAATTCGCAACCTGGGTTAGAGCAATATTGAACAAGTAGCAAGCCCAAATGCAAGCTGAATTACAAAATACATATTAGTTGTAAGTTATTGAACTATTGAATGTAATTATAAGTTGCCTTTCAAACACTCAAAGTTAGAGCAAGAACAAACTGACTCATATTTGTGTAACTAAAATTCTCTAGCTGGGCCTTGTCAGACACATCCAGGCGCAAGGTAACACCAGATGCATTCTTCATTAAATAACACGCATACAGACACGACACCGTACTTGATCGTGACCGACGCAGAAATTCGATAGACTGCACGATGTACGTAATCATATGTGTTTTGTATAAAACGGATGGAAATTCACAAACATAGCCTCAAATAATTTTGCCTATAAGCTTAAGTTAATTTTCTAACAAACTTACCAACATTTGCGAATTGACATGAGGCGTAGGACTAAAAATTTTCAAACACGCTCAGGCTAACTTATTGCCTATAACTGGTAAGTACGTGTTTCAAGCGTACGATATAGTTAAGTTCAATAATTTTTAAATTTTTATTGGTATTATTTTCCTTGAGAGCAAACATCGATAAGTACTTAACTTATTCGAGCGTTATCTTTATAAATAGTAATTTAGAACTATACATCCCGGTGTGTTAATCTGATTGCGAAAAGCGTGCTGTTGTTATGTTTACGTGGATATGTCATTGTGGGCCCGATACAAGATTGGGTTTGTTATGTCACCCGTAATAGAGATGTCTTGACAAGACGAACGTGTACTCGTGACTCAAACAGCTATCGCAGATATCTATCGTAACGGCAAATAAACCCGCATGTCTGACAATGACGGAACATACAACTTTTCCGGATTGAATCGACTTGGACTGAGGTTCACTGGACCGAATTTAGAACGATTAGCAAACAATAGAGTTCTGATCTAAAAGATAAAGTCGAGCTAAGGACCTGTTATTACTGTCATCGCTGGTATGTCAAGTTTATGTGGATGTTTCTATCGATTAAGTAGGGAAATAAACTAGTATCAGTGTTCGACAGCACGTACTCTAATCAGGAAGCGTTGTTTCCGCATACGATTACTCTAGCATACGCAAACCCGCAGTGATTTTAGCGAGCAGATGAATCTTAACCCACTTTTTGGTCTCGTCCAGAATTGGGTAAAGTTATTCGAGGGCTGTACGGGTCAACTGATCAATACGGGTCAACTCTACCGTATTAATAGCTGTATTACTGGGTCTACGTTCGTTCTTTTAATGCTTAACAAACATATTAACAATACTGTTCTTACTTGTTAGACGTTTCCATAATGATTTGATTTAATTGGTCTTTCAGGAATCTCCAAGTCTCCCACAAATTTCATATCAGCGACAAAGGCCTCGGCCAGCGAATCAGACGAATCGGCCTGTGACTCCACACCCGATGAAAAGAAACTTTTCGAGGTAATGATAACTTACTAAGCCTGTATGATAACTGTGTAAATAGTTTAGTATATTAGGCCTTGGGTAAAAAGCAACGAAAACTACGGCCGCTTGCTAAACAATTGAAAAGAACGAATTTCGTCGCGCTGAATTTTTACTCTATATACAGTTTGCTTCAAGTGTCTTTAATTAGAAAATGATAGAACTTATAACCAAATACGTGCACGTATATACACCGATCATTTTACATTAACTGTCTTCGGATATGGATTTAAACTCGTATCAGAGGTAAGTTAGCATGAGCGTCTGTAGCAAGTATAAGAAAATTGTTATCATTGCCTTTCTCATTACGTGTTGATATTATTGAAAGCGCTATTAATTTCTACACAGCCTTACTCTAAACAAATAAATAGACGTGCTAGTGGCACAATATATCAAATGCTATATATGTGTGCTTTTAAAAGCTCCGACGATATGTCCGTCTCCGGTTTTTGCTCCACCTTACGCAACGCCTATATATATACACGGATATATCTGTTAAAGTGACAGAAAATTGTTTCAAAATATTATAACTCCATTTTTGTCGTCGTCGGCATCGTCGTTCTTGGATTATTATTTTCGGTTTTGGTGGGCTCTGCAATCATCTAACTAGCGTTTTTTCCTATCCTCTTTCTCTCGTCCGCCTTCATTAGTCGTCATGTAATTCCTTGGTTGGTCGACTGGTCCTGATTTTGTCGACATAACTTTTAGGTCAGCGAGCTAGGGCCAAGTCTTTTTCGCTTGCATTTCGTATGCGTATACGTTTCGTAATAAATTCGTGACGACACACAAGCAGCGAGGAAAAGAAACTCGTGTATCGCCCCTGCCACAGCCTTTGCACATTGGCAACTGAAACAGTGCTCCTAAATTGCCCTACGCCTGGGTATTGTTAGTGAGGATTATGTTTTGGAATATATGGATCGCTTCTTACAAAACTGAACAGCTGAAATTTAAGAGCGTTGACTCATAGATGCTCTGTACGAGTGAAGGCCTCATTGTGGTAGGTTTATGACGATCTAACGGCTCTCCTTGTTTCGTCACGTTGTTTATATTTATTTTAGGACGAGCCAGGTCTGCCATCGTCGTGCTATTTGCTACATTCATCGGAACGGCATTCGGCAGCGGTTGCCTCTGCTCTGAAATCCATTGTAAAAAGCGTGTCTATTGTAGCTTCCGGGCCCGAGTTGAAAGCCGCACTTGGTGCTCTCGTGCAACGAGTTCAGAACTTTTGTAATAACAACTCACGAAATCCAACTTCTATTAAGGTACTACGATTATTGATGCCTCTTGTTAATTGTTAACGGGTCTTGCGTCTCTATTACTTAGGGAATCAAGGGCTTTTGTGGTTACATTATTTGCAAGGTGAGACTGTGCTTTTCATAAAACCATCACAGAAAATCGATGACTAATCATCAAAACCTAGTATGTTTAATAACGTATATCTGTGCGTAATAACATTATGATGTTTACGAATTGTTTGTACTGTTTCGCAATGTTTGCGTTAGGTGGTTTTAATGGGAGACGATTCATTCGTTAATCACCTGCTCCGTGTGTACGTTGAACAATTTTCCTCGAAGACCCCGGAATGGATTAACTATTTTCGGTTTTTTCTTATCCCACTCAGCCAACACGAAGCCGCTATCGCAAGGTGACAATTAACACTGCATGAAAAGATGGGAAAAGTTGAATTTTCCATACACAGACATATGCGTTGGGTATCACTGCTCTTCGCCAGATCCTTTTTCTCAAACTTCTTCAGTTATACGTGTGAGATGGAAGATCCATAGAAGGATGCCTCCGATGTTTTTGTTAAACAAGGAGTTTTTATTGATGCAAGTTGTTTTATTCTATTCAATATTGGTACATTAGGCGGAACGACTAGAGTAATCATGCGCTTCGCATGATACTCTGACTTTTTATTCTACTGGCCTCCAATTCAACTGCGTTTTGGTCTCGCCTTAGATATCTGGCTAGCGTAGATTCATCGTATCCGTTTGCTGACTCATCGTGGTTCGAAGCTCTTGCCGGTGCTCCTCTATATGAATCGGAGATCGCTTCACGGATTGCCCGCTATGTTAATTCACCAGTCACCTCAGTTCTTCAATTGCCAATTGCCGAGGTTATGCTGACATTAGCAAAACAGGACTCTACTCAGGTGGGTGTCATAACTATAATGTAAAGTTTAAATGTCTATTTTTTAAACTTCCTAGAAGTCCATTCATTCATCTATCTAGAAAAGCCCCGATAGCCAGCGAAACATCTAAGTAGCGTTCTATTTTCTAGACGAACTGTGTGTAATTGTGTATATTCGGAAATAACGGATGAAAACACTCACAAGTTAGTGGTTCTTCAGTATTCGTCTATTATCACATGGTTCGTTAATAAATTTTTAGGCGTATAAAAAAGGCATGTCCATTTCTTATCGATCGGCCCGATTGTAGGTACTCCTGCTATACGCAGCTTGTATTAGTCACTAAAATACGTAGGCTATTTGTATAATGCTACTTCTGTGTTGGCAATCGGTAATTTTTAATTACTGTTTGTTTCGCAGGCATTCGTGCCATTTGTTACCGAGGTCCGCATTGAGGGTGTCGAAGACTCGACCTCGCCCCCTGGCGACAGTAAAGCTACTGGCGATAACAAGGTACCATTAGCAAATATAGCACCTATGTGATCTACCCCGTTTTGTTAGTATAGTGTGTATGTAATTCATAGAATGATAGAATAATGTGGCCCCGGGCTTTTGGTACCCTCATATTTTAGAAGCCTTCGTCCGAAAAGCGATTACTTGGAGTTCGATATATATATATATATATATATATATATATATAAGGAAATACGTCCTCGATCTGTATCGTTATCCTAATTGAAGAACAAATCGGGTCGTACATTTGGTACTACTTTTAAGCATTTCTTCAGACAGCACAAAGCGGAGTGTGTCAACGCCCAGTTTTGAACCTAGGCCACTACATGTGTCTGAGCTTAGTGGACAAACCCAGTGTCACTGCAGCTCTATAAAGACCGTATTATGAAAAGAACTTTGTTTATTGATAAATGTATAAACTTGCGCAAGTTCAACTAATGACTTTCGGCGTCGCGGTCTGATTCCGGCGGCAGTCGATTTTATAGCGCTTTGTTGACATATCACAAAAATATGGCCATGGTGTTTGGCCTGCCTGCGCACGATAATGTCTAAAACTAAGCGCTATATAGGATATCGCTATAATAAAATTGAGCTGAGATGACTAATTTATTTAAGTTACATTCATTCCAAAGTCCTTTTATCATTCTGTCGTTAGGGCCGATAGTTGCCTTTTATTGCATCCTAATAAACGAAGTGTCTTTGTATTTTTTTAGGTAACACCTCCCAATTCACCGGCGCAGGCAGGTCATCAAGCGTCGATTGGCGGAATTAGCGGAGGATCTGGCAGTGCCCCTGGAAGCGGAAGACATAGTCGGATTGGCGAAAAAGATAAAGATGGGGTTGGCGGCGGCCGAAGCGAACGGGAATTTGAACCAATGGAGCTACAGATCGACTTTTGGACCGTCAACAATAAAGAAGCAAACAAATGTACTCTTAAGGGAATTTTTAGGCATTTACAGGTAATCGCATTGAACAAACTCATTTAAGCATCACAGGCAAAAAGCTGACAATTGAGAATCATGAAGGTAGTTTACTTCATGAGGTTATTAAATGAAGTACTTATGCCTTTGCTTAGAACCTGAGCTTGTATGTCAACGGTGACTTCTTTTGTGAAACCGGCAAAAAGCAAGAATGAGCAATGCTCATTATTTGCAAGTAGAACAGTCTTCCAGTGCCTCGAATTTCTCTAATAGAATGTCCATTGTGAGTTTCTGAAAATAGAAATTTGTCAAATACCAAAGGGAACTGTTAGTGATTTTCTTGTTGTCGTAATAACTCGACAGGTTCGCCGGATGCCCCCTTCACATCTACTTACATTGAGTTACTCGACAAAAGAGAAAGTTAAACAAAAAGTGATGCGGTTGGGTAAGAAAAAGACATCAACTGGGGCAGATGAAGGGACAAAACAGGCCGATGGCGTGCAGAGGCTTATTTGTTCATCGAAGAACGCTCCGCTACGGGTAAGACAAAATGCAGCTCGAACGAAACCAGCATTTGATGTAACGTGTTGAGCGTGTTTAATTCGGTTCTTTAGTATACGTTAATCTATCCATGCTGCAGTATTTTGTTAATAAGAGAAAGAAACGATTTTACCCTAGGGCACGATAGGAACAACATCATTCTATAGGGCGATCCTCGCGTATTTCCTTCTATCCTATGCTAGACCTATAAGCAAGCCACTTTCGTCTTAGAACACAGCTGTATAATGACTATACTAACGGTTGGGCGCTTGTTTTATACGTTGTTTTTTTTTCTTGAACAGATCACAATCGATGGAACGGAATGGACCAATGTAAAATTTTTCCAGCTGTCATCACAGTGGCAAACACACGTGAAAACGGTGCCATTTGCGGTAAATCAGATGGCGCCCGCTGGCGGGAATCAAATGCAGACGCAGTCGGCTAGTTTGAGCGAACGTGGAATAGGTTCAGCTGGTGTAGAGGCCCTAGGCGGAGGGTCAACTGACAGATCGTCGAATGCGGCAAGCGGCCAGCCGGGTCCTGCTTCAGGAAGACAGCAGCAACAACAACAGCAGCAAACTATCATCGATGAACTTTGATTGATCAGCTCGAATCGAGAAGATGATTGACGGATATTGGGCTGCTTTGGGACACTTCATTCTGAAAGGCTTAATGGGTAAAAATGAGTAGTGAGGTGGCTAACAATGCAGCGCATGCACATATGCCCGGTTCAGTACGAAGAAGGTATAGAGTTTAGAAGTCTTCTGGTTTCTGATATCTAGAGTGCGATAAGGAGCTTAAGACGTGTTCAGTTGACATCATTTTAAGAGCTGTATAATCTTAGAACATTTATAGATAAAAAAAATTCACATAAAAATCGTTGTTGTTGTTATCTCTCAGTAAGTGATCGTGGGTCTGTCATATCTCTAGGAATCATGCCTGTGCCGTATGTCCATTCCCCATAGTTTTTATAATGTTACATGTCATACTACACTACGTCAAAATAGCAGATAAACATAATCTACACTATTGCTTTCTTTCAGATTTACGTCGTGTCTGGGGTTACTATGATGTAATTGCACTGTCGTTCTTTCCGAAACGACATTTACCGCTTCGGAAATTCTGCTACATAATAACATACACACAAATACACGCACATACCTACATACAAATAAACATGATTAGTCGGATAGAGAAATCAAATATTCCTTTGTGTCACGACTCGATCGGTAACATAGAGAGCTATGAATTCCGGCAACAAGTTACTGTGATCTGTTCTTCATTAGAATGCTTTATACTATATATATATATATATATATATATATATATATATATATATATCCCATGGTTCTAAAAGTGTATATAAGAGACAAATGAAGACAACAGCAATACTACACCGGTGCACAGAAGGAACCCATTAAGAAACGATAACGTAAGGATGACCATAAACATGTCATTATTATATTGAATTGACCTGTGTTCTGGACTCGCGCAAGACTCAGTCACTGGAAATGATAGGCAAAATAGGCAAAAACTAAAACTCTTGCTTCGAGTCCTTTTCTTGCTATATGTATAATGATAGGACTGATAGGTTTAGACTTCAACAAAAGCCAAAAAAATTAGGGTAGCGCACCGTCATCCCGCTGACAATAAACCGACAATTCCGAGTAAAGTTTTTCCATAGAATCCCGCCAAATTAAACGATCCAAAGCCCGCACGGGTTTGGGAAGAAAAACGTAAAGTATGCCTGGGTCCACGATGAAACGACCCATTAGCACGATTATGCTGGGGTCATGGTCGACAATAATTCGCACTATTCTCAAGGTCTTGCACACTTGAGAGCTCGGATAAGTCAGAACTGCGCAAAACAGGATACAGTCTGAAAGGTGTATCTACAAAAGATAGCAGAGAACGGCCATACGACCGTGACTTGCTTTTCATGTTAAATAAATAAACGTACCATAGAGATTTAGTTGTTTTTTCTTCAAGTTGAATTTCTATCGTTAATTTTATATTATTATTTATCTTTGACGGTAATCGCTAAAAAAGCCTGAAAATACATTCAAGCAGTTTGCTCAAATGTTCGAAAATTTTGAAAAATATGGATTTTCTAAGAAATTTCAACATCATAAAGATGGAACAGTTGACAGAAGTTTAGTGGTTTAAGAACAAAACAAGTCACTTAATGGGGTTTGCAGTTGCTGAACGATAAACATTATACGATCGAATTGTAAAGTGCTAATCCTGATTTTCACGCTTTATAAGAAAGGCTTCGAACGCAGTTTTTCCACCACTCTATTGCGAAGATAAACGCTTATCAAGACGATCTTCTATGTCGGCTCGGGTTTATTGTATACTCAAACTAAATAATGGTAGCTTTCCAGTTTTTTGACCATCGGTTTGCGTATAAAAGCGTATTTTTTTTTTAGTAGAATCTGTACATACGGCAGAAGAAAACTGTTTGTGTGTTTTGTTGATTTCAGGAATATTTTATATTATCTAACTTCCAGGTACTTGCTAACTTATTCGACATGTACCCGCCGGTAGGGTGATGCTTCAAAAGAGCAGAAAGACCTGTTGACATTGGCCTGTAAGTTACTATAATACCTTGTTAAGTATAGTGGTTGGAAATGCCACAAAATTGTAGTAATCCAAGGCACGTTGATTTTGTATTTTGTGTATTGACAAATAAAATAGACGCAGTAAATTCAACTGCCTTTTTATCCCGCCTACCGTTTTTCCTGTGTTTAGCACTACTAGTTATTCATACTATGTAAAAAAAAGTTTTCGGAATCATCTATTTTTAGGCATAGTATCGGGGGCTTAATCCGAGTGGCTCTATCTGATCTTATCTGAGGTTTCTCTAACATACTCATGATGTGGCATGGCAACTATATAAGTAGCTACTTATTTTTATACTAATATGTTATCTTCCTCAATTCGTTATTTTAGTTCATTCCTTATTTTCCTGGCTACGAATATCTGGCAATGATTTTTTTACCAACGTAGAGGTTTGAGACAGCCTGACCGCACGCTTGTTAGCTATATCAACGCACTCAAAATCATGTGTACCATCCACGCGACCCCGTAGTAGATCCTCAGGTCTCTGCTGTACTTATGATAGACCTGTTCTCCCCAGCCGCTTAGCTGATGGTATACGTTCAGTCAGAAACGTTGCTTCATTGTACGTTTTTTGCAGATATCTAAAAGCACGTTCAATATATACAGGGTTCCACGAAGAGAGTTACACAGACTTATAAAATTAAGCAATGTTTATTGGTTTGAGAGGTAGGTACTTTTCCAATTGTTTTGTAACAACAAAATAATAACGTTGTAGTATTCACCTTGATCGTCGAATTTTAGGTAATTATGTGGTGGAATTACAAGCAGCTTGATGAACTTTCAGATATATTTTCTTAAATCGTTCTATCTAATTAAATTATCTAATAAAATAAAATCTAATTAAACGTTACCTTAGTAAGTCATTATATAATTGAAAATGAAAATATACTGTACAAAAGGTATCGCACAAAATGGTAAACTTTGGTTGATGTCTCATCATTTTTTTGAACATCCTATACATACATACATAAATATATTTACATAGAACGTATTCATACTTTTCTTTTATTGTGGTTTGCAATAAACAAAAAAATATACGTGGTAATTTATCGTTTTCGGGCTCTCCCGGAACACAAAGTAAATCATTGTGCTTTTACAATCATTACGTTATGCACTCATAGACGTGTCCAGAAAATGTCTACGTGACTTATTATTAATATCTGTTACAGCACAGAAAATCATCAATCATGATGATGGATCGGCGCTTTCCAAGCAGTCCATCAAAATTATATCCGTTCACTCGAATAGCAATGGCCTGTTGTAGAGCATAGGAGAAGTAAATTATGGCCTTCACTGCTTTCCATGAAACATATATTATATATCCTTATAGACAATTAGCCTTAAAAGCAGAAAACGCTCTCTGTTAGTTCTACAGGATACGAAATTATTATTTGATACTGAACCCGGCTTGGATTGCTTTTAGCGTAGAAAGGATCAATCTGTGCAGATAATAAATACTAGTATTATTATACGAGAGTAATTATAGGTCAAAGATATACGATTCGACGAAAAACGTTAGGGCTGAAGTAATTATTGAATGCGAAAGGCCAAATGAAAATGTTTCCGAAAACGTCATATATTAAGGCATGATGGGCACGTGATGGGAAACGATATTCATTCCGAGTTATAACTAACACCGCGGATATTTGTTATTGATATTGATTTGTGGCCGGTAGTGGAGGTACCGAACTCTGCCTGTGGACTGTCAACACCTTAATCGGACCACGTGACTTTTCCGATGATTAAATGATCGAAGCTGCTTTAGCTTTCGTCTGCTTGTAAGAAAACGCAGTGACACCTAGTGGTGGCTGGTGATTCGATCGTCCTGTGCAGGTTCCGCTTGCGTATTGCCGCAAATGATCATACTTGCCCAAAAATCCTAAATGAAAGTACCATGGGTGTCGACGTAAGGACGATTCAGGAAGGCGATAACTCCACTTACCCAATCACGGGTCAGACCGTTGTAGTACACTATATCGGGAGGCTGACCAACGGAAACAAGTTCGACTCGTCGAGAGACCGAGGAACGCCGTTCAGGTTTAAGATCGGCCGAGGGCAGGTGATCAAGGGATGGGATGAAGGCGTTGCTTTGATGTCGGTTGGCGAACGAGCCGTCCTCACTTGCAGTCCCGATTACGCGTACGGAGCTCGTGGCTTCGGTTCTATTATCCCGCCTAACGCAACTCTCATCTTTGAGGTCGAGTTGCTTGGAATTGAATAAATCGCAAAGACGGCGTTCAATGCGATTCTTCAAATTTTGCGCGTTATTTCCTGCACTCGTGCAATAAATGCCCAGGTGACCTAGTTACGTTCAACCCAGACTTTTGACTAACTTGCATAGATTTAACTGCACGATTTCTCCGGATTGCATTATAGCTATGCACGACGCTATGTAATAACCAACCATAGTTGTTCATTGTATATTTATTACCGAACCGTGTGTTAAACACTAAAAGCGACAAGTACAAAAAGACAAAGTTACTATATGAATGCATTTAAACAATGTTGTTTAAAACCTAGAATGGCAGACGAATGCCCTGAGCGCACAACCATGTTCGAGTTCGAGATCTATTTTCCATCGTTGATCTGCCACTCTAGTGCACACCGAGCGGGTATTCAAACCGATTTAGGTAAGAGAGGTAAGGATATTATCGATACGGTTAGTGTTTTCATCTATTTCGACAGAAAAAGCCGATCAGGGCCAACAGATGAGAAACCTGTATTGAGGAAACATGTATAATCGATACTTCCGTCCAGTGTCCTACACCAAACACACCGCTATGCTAGCTTTAACTATTAAACGAGATTCCTTTTACAGAAACAAAATTCTGATTTTATAAAAAAACTAATACAGACAGGTGTCGTGCTAAAAGGCCCAGACTCAGTCATTAGACGGCAATGCCTCTTTACTAAATTTAACCTCTATGACGTTTTATGTTTAACCTGTGATCACTAGACAGCCTCGTCATCTGACTACCGTCTTGTTCGCATGGCGTCATTTTTGTCTAACAAGGTTCAAAAGCTAACTTAATCAAAAATTATAAGGGCACGATTTGTCAAACCAAGGAGCGTAACTGACATCGTCCTATATAAGCGACGTGAGACAAAAATATGCCCCGGGCTGTCAATCCGTCTCCTCACCAAGGACACTTACCTTCGATCTCATATAACTAACAGAAAGAGGAACTGCCGGTAACGACTGAGGTCATTGTGAACTGGTGTGATATACCGTGAACTTCCTTTTTGACACTGAATACGAATCGGGCACGAAGCCTGTTCGTCAACTTTGAGGTCTATTTGTGGAACAAAGACTCAGATCCTTTGAACAGTAGTTGACCATGCATAAAGTGCTTCACTAAAACCTGCTCATCACGCTTCAACGATCATCGAAGTGCGTTGCAAGCATCTAGGACTGGTAGAAACAAATATTGATTACCATGAGGCATCCGAGCCATGTGGCTTATAAACCGTGGCAAAGATAGGCAGACCATCACACTTTGCACTGATTTCTGCCCGGGGGATCTTCAATATTCAGTCTTCAGAGAACTCACTGAAGCTGCGGAGGACCAGACTGTGTCCAATATTCTAATAAGCAATGAAGCGTCTCAGTAAATAGACGTCTGCATACCTGAACAAGACGGACCAAACGTATCCACAAAGTAGCAACCAAAAGCACAGAGAAATATAATGACATTTGCATCTTTCCGAGAGGAACGAGCGATAATGCTGCTACGGTTGAAATTAGGTAGATGAATGTTTTAGGTTGATACTGCTTTATCACTGCAAGTCCATGCCGACCATGTTAACCATGCGACAAGTGCGAGGGACCATTCAGTATTGCCGGCTTCTGTTCTGTGAAACCAAAAAGACTACCCTAACCCTATGTTCATATTTCAAAAACAGAGGAGATCATAAGAGATAAGGAAATTAATAAGCACTTTCTGAGTATAGTAGTTAGTAGAGGCGATTTTTTTAATGCTCTTCATTTAAACTCATATA